AATTACATGAGCAAGATAATGAGTACATTTCTTATCAAGCATTGTAGCCTCCTCCTTTGTTTCCCCTTCCCATCCCTTCCCATCCTCCCCCCACCCCCACCCCCCAGCTTGTTTTTCTAAGGTGATGGCTCCTACATTCTTCCCAAGTGACACACTACCACACGTGACACACTTCCATGGATGTGTCCGGGGGATGGGTCATCCTCTCCTCTCCCCATCACAACTTTCCAGTTAGACTGAGAAACTCATTCTTGTAGGCATGACCTTTGGGGACAGCTTTATTGAAATCGAATCCGTACACTATGCAAGTCGTCCTCTCAAAATATTCGCGCCAGTGCTGCCATGTTCAGAGCTGTGCCATCCACACTGCATTCATCACACACACCCAAAGAAACCCCATGTCCGTTAGCAAGGGCTCCCGACGGTCCCTCTCCACGCCTGCTCCAGCCACCACCAATCTGATTTCTATTGCAATGGATTTGCTTGCAGTGGACATTTCCTGTCAATGAGCTCATGCGCTTTGTGGCCTTTGTGTCTGGCTTCTGTAGTCGATTAATAAATCGTGGGTTTTTATGGTTCATCCATATGACAAACACTGCTATTTCATTACTATTTTATGGCTGAATCATATTCCATTGTATGGATCTATTTCTTCACCAGTCAGTAGACCTTTGGCTTGTTCTCCCTTTGGAACTGTTGCCAATAATGCTCCTATGGGTGTTCCTTGCAAACGTTATGAATGTGAAATTGCACCTGGTCTGCAAGATGTGCCACTCACACTGCACCGGTGTGTCCCGCGGGGCCCAGACCCCATCTCACAGCCTGCTTCAGGATTCCAGTGTCCGGGGACCAGATGCCAACCACACACACACACACACACACACACACACACACACACACACACACACACTGCTGATTCCAAAGTCTGTGCTTAGAATTTTTTTTTTTTTTAGTTACTCCACATTTAGAGGCTAAAATGGTAGTCATTTGTTACTTCAAATGAATTACTATACTGTAAGTAGCCTGATAGTAGATTTCCAATGCAGCCTGGCCATCATTAATAAATAGATTCTTTGCAGCTCAAAGAATCTTCTGACTTTGGATACATTCTTCTTTTTGGAACATGCTGCTTTACTATTTGTATGAGTGTAAAGATCAAACTGAGCTAGGAAGGAAGGAAGGAAAAAAGGAAGGAGGGAAGGAGGGAGGAAGGGAAGAAGGCAGGAAGTGAGGTTGGGGGTAAAAAGTAGAGGAGGGGAAGGAAGAAGAGAGGAGAAGAGAGGAGGAGGAGAAGGAGGAAGAGGAGGAAGAGGAAGCGGAGGAGGAGGAGGGGAGGGAAAGAAGGGAAAGGAAGGAACTCTTTTATTTCTTAGATCCTTTGGACAGTTTTTTCTACTAGTTCAGGAAAAAAAGTCTTAAGGTAGAACCCGATTGGATAGTAATGGCCATGTGACCATCTCTTAGTCAATCATTAGAGCTAGAAGATAAGATGGCTTTTGTGGTCAGGACACTCAGAATGAGATTTTGTTTATTTGTTCGATTTTTTTTCTTTCTGTGATCTTGGGAATCAGAGCCTTGCACACACTAGGCAAGTGTTCTACCACTGAACTACAACCTTAGCCCTAACATAGAGTTTTAATAACACTGTTTAGACTCTTAATTTAATCAGTACTAAGAAAGACATAGGTACTAATAATGAGACATTTCAAAAAAATTGAGGAAAAGAAACAACCACTGACCCAAATAGGATGCTTGATAATTCTTAATAAGTGCTGTAAATGCTTCTAAAAGAACATTAGGATGCTTAATTGCTAAATAAATGAAATATAAACATTCATTATGTTGCTTAGAGAGTTCTTTAATACATAATGGAAAAAACATTTTATCAAATGCACTGTAAGTAATAAATGCTTGTTTCCTTTTCCAAAACAAATCAATTCTTGAAATCATTAACCACCATTTAAATGTAGCTTGAAATTTTCTATTTATTCCTCCTTCTTAATTGTTTTTATCCGGGAGGCAGAGCAGCAGAGAGCAAATGGTGATGAGGGATTTGCAGGCAGAAGTCTGGCGTTCAACCTGAGCCCTGTTCTTTTTTAGTTCTGTGGTGTTTGCCAAGCACCTTACCCTTACTTGGTGTCCAAGAGTCATGGGAGATGGTCGAAAATTCCTGCTTTCCTCAGAAATCTGAGGTACTTCTACTGGATCATTACACGCCCAGGAAAATGCATCTAGGCCTTTATGTGTGTAGGAATTATGTGTGGATTGTGTTAAACGTACAGATGTGGTCAATTTACTGGATAGGTCTAATCTCAGTCAGATTTTGATGTCAGTGGTCCACGTTTTGGGCTAGGACTGCTTTTTGGAATGTCTCCCAAGTTCACGAGTGCTTTAGAAACCATCCTGGTTTGTAGCAGTGATGCACTAATGGCTGCTCTCGCACCCCTTGTGGAGCTGATGATGATAGAGGTGACTTTGGATCCAAGGTGATCCAAAACAACATCTCACCTGCTGGGAGCATGGCTCAGGTGGTAGAGTACTAGCCTAGCAAATATGAGGCCCTGAGTTCAAACCTCAGTACTGTCACACACACACACACACACACACACACACACACACACACACGAGGGTGTGTGTGTGTGTGTGTGTGTGTGTACACATCAACCTGCAGTTTTGAACAGGGACCATTTATTCACATGCTTGATCATACAGCAATTTGAACACATCTATTTCTATGCCAGACACTTCATTACAGTGGAGACACTATCAAACAGAAAGAGGCTCTCCTCTCGTAGAGATTTGATTCAGGGAATGTAATAAGGCAAGCTAATTTCAGACAGGCTAACTGCCGGGAATGAATGGATGGAAGAGTTTCAAGACTTCTAATAGGAGTTGGAAGGGTCTTCAAATAAGCTCTTCCCTGCTGAAGAGACCACAGGGGTTGAAGATGATGCTTAGAAAGTAAGAGAGCCTGGGTCTTTGAGTTAGTGTGTAGAGCAGAGCTCTGCCTCCTTCCTGTAGGCTGAATTACACTGTAATGAAAGTAGGAAATTTACTTTAGTGGCTGAAAAATCACTGAGATTGCAGGGCTATTGTAAAAAGCTAGCAATGCTCAGTGTACATTTTGGAGATTCTAAAAATTATCAGTTTAAGTTAATGCTGGCTGGACATTCTTTTTCTACTCAAAACCCTGGTGTTGATGAGAATTTGCTGAATTAATAAGCGTGAAAGTGCTTCATAACGTGTTTAAAAGTGTGATGCACCTATGAAGAAGTCTGACCATGAATTAATCTTCCTGAAATGTACCCTCTGCCTGGATTTACTATTGAGGAAAAATCCGAACAAAATAAACACTGATGTATAAATTCCTACTGTGATCAATTTTGTTCTCTGGTCATTTCTCTCTCTGATTTCTTGTTTAGACTATTTTTTAATCAACTCACTAAATTGCAGTGGAAACTGAGGAAGCAATTATAAAAGTTTGCAATTTTCCTTGAAGACATGTGTTTCCATTTGGAATGAGTCCTCAGTGGCAGAAGAATAGGAACATTTAAATTAACCACATCTCATGCTTATCAGCACACACGCCATCCAGCTATTTCTCAGAGGATCCTGGAATCGTCAAGGGAAATCTGTCTCGACACATATCCACAGCGGGCTGCTGGTCTCAGAAGTGTAGAGCTGGCCTTCCAGCCCCTGGGGGCCTTCCTCTTCTCTTCTACGTTTTATGTATCATGAGCAGCCACCGCAAATCTGTCCATTAGCAGAACTTGCCCCGTTCTCTCTCAGGCAGGAAAACCAGGGTCCTCTCCGAGACAGGTCAATGCCAGGGACTTGGCTATCCTCACCTAGCAGTCATTCATGTTTGTCTCACACAGTTTGAGTTCTTAGTGAAAGAAGAGACTATCATAATTCATATGAGCCGCTTTGAACCTCAGTTCTGTTGGCATGAATAGCACATAAAGCCAAAACCTCCCTTCCAGTTACCAAATGGGGTCTTTCCTTGCCAAGGGTCCATTCTAAGGCATGTGTGCATCTAGGTATGTGCACACAAGTGTCCAGCTTTTCATGGAGCTTTCCTTAAGGAGAAGGATGAAAAGAATGAGTCTATCCTGGAGACCTTTGAATGAGATTGTCAGCCTTTCTTTCTTTTTTGGTCAGTCATGGGGCTTGAACTCTGGGCCTGGGCTCTGTCCCTCAGCTCTGCTGCTCAAGGCTAGCCCTCTACCACTTCAGCCACAGCGTCACTTCCGGTTTTCTGGTGGTTTATTGGAGATAGGAGTCGCAAGGGGACTTTCTTGCCCGGGCTGGCTTTGAACTGTGATCCTCAGATCTCAGCCTCCTGAGTAGCTAGGATTACAGGCGTGAGCCACCAGCGCCCAGCTTTCTTTCTATGCAGCTTTTAAGTCCTTGGTCCCTTCACCAACTGTCTGTTCAGTGACCAGAATACATGGAGTCAGGAATCAGAGTGGTAGGAAAATTTGGTCACACAGATACAGAAACTCAGATACTAGATTAAAAAAAAAAAAAAAGATACGTAGAGTGAAAACTCAGTCATCTGAGGACCCTCATGCATCACCCATCCACCCATCCACTCATCCATCCTTCCATTCCCCATCTACCACCCAGTCATCTGCCCATCCATCCAACCATCTGTCCGTCCGTCCATGCAAGCCACAGGTGGGACTGAGCACTCTCTTACATCAGTCTCAGTGTGCTCAGTTACACCAAGGGGGGGGAGGGGCAGACGTGTGGACAGAGGCAGCGAAGGTGACCCTGAAAGGGCTCCTGCCCGTGGGGGAGCGGGGGAGGAGGGCGGAAGATTCTAGAGCCTGATGCCCAAGCAGAGATGAAGGTGAAGCAGCCGCCTATGCACCATAGAGATGCCAGAACTCCCAGCTTCCTAGAGAGGCCGGGGGGGGGGGGGGGGAGTGGCACCCGGCGGAGCCGGTCCGACGGCTGCGGCTCCGGAGCGGGGCAGTGGGTACTGAGGAAGGACCTGGCCGGGCCGCGAGCGCGCGTGGCTTCCTGTCGCTGTGAGTGCACTGGGCCTGGGAGGGCTGTGGCCGGGAGGGCGCAGGGGAAGGACTGAGGATGACAGGTCACCGTGCCCAGCAGGGACTGGAGCGGGGCGCGCCTGGCTGGGGACCGCGCCCCTGCCCCTGCGCCCGGGGTGGGGGGGCGCCTGGCTGGGGACCGCGCCCCTGCCCCTGCGCCCGGGGTGGGGGGGGCGCCTGGCTGGGGACCGCGCCCCTGCCCCTGCGCCCGGGCGCAGCTCAGCCCGGCTCTAGACGGCGCCCGGGGTGGGGGGGCGCCTGGCTGGGGACCGCGCCTCTGCCCCTGCGCCCGGGGTGGGGGGGAGCGGGGCGCGCCTGGCTGGGGACCGCGCCCCTGCCCCTGCGCCCGGGGTGGGGGCGCGCCTGGCTGGGGACCGCGCCCCTCCCCCTGCGCCCGGGGTGGGGGGGGCGCCTGGCTGGGGACCGCGCCCCTGCCCCTGCGCCCGGGCGCAGCTCAGCCCGGCTCTAGAGGGCGCCCGGGGTGGGGGCGCGCCTGGCTGGGGACCGCGCCTCTGCCCCTGCGCCCGGGGTGGGGGGGGCGCCTGGCTGGGGACCGCGCCCCTGTCCCTGCGCCCGGGCGCAGCTCAGCCCGGCTCTAGACGGCGCGGGGGTAGGGGGGCGCCTGGCTGGGGACCGCGCCTCTGCCCCTGCGCCCGGCGGGGGGGGGGGGGGGGGGGGGGGGGGGAGCGGGGCGCGCCTGGCTGGGGACCGCGCCTCTGCCCCTGTGCCCGGGCGCAGCTCAGCCGACTCTAGACGACAAGGCGAGGCGCCTTTCCACACTCCTCTTGCTTTCTATTTAAGGGTCTTTTTTTTTTTTTTTTTTTTGTCGGTCGTGGGGCCTGAACTCTGGGTCTGGGCGCTGTCCCTCAGCTCTGCTGCTCAAGGTGAGCACTCTACCACTTGAGCCACAGCACCACTTACAGCTTTTTCTGTTTATGTGGTGCTGAGGAATCGAACCCAGGGCCTCATGCATGCAAGGCAAGCGCTCTACCACTGAGCTACCTTCTATTTAAGGGTCTTTTACTGCCAACAAACCCGAGCCGAGCTTCCCACAGCCCTGCCTAGCCAGGCGTGTGCTCTCACAGCCTTCTTTTTCCAGGGCATTTTGGAGAAAAGGTTGTCTTCCCTCTGCGACAGTGCTTGGGACACTCGTTTGGAGAAGTCATGTGAAGTTCCCATTGAGCATGAACTCATGATGGTAAAATGGTCATCATTGGGATTAAGTTGAAAAATAAAGACCTAGCGGCTGAGTCCTTGGAATCAGGGGCCAGGAATGACATTCGTTGTGAAAATCTGATGATAAACCATCCAAGGGCTTAGGACTCTGTGCCTTCCCCGCTGGAGGCTGGGGAGGCGGTGGAAGGAGGAAGACGACTCAGCTCTGAGTTCTAGATCCAGCTCAGCCACTGAAGACCTCTGTGATTGGCAAGCCAGGTTCTTAGTGTCTGAGCCGTTGTCTTTATCTCTAGGAAGCTAACCATTCTAGAAACTGTCTCAATTGTCCCACGGTGTAAACAAGAAACCTCTTAAGCACCTCACCCACAATCGCCTCCATTGCTGTTATTTTGATTTTAGGGAGGAAGAGGCAGGATCAGAGGGATTTTGTAAGTTGCCCTAGGTCACACCAGAAACTGGTACAAGATCCAAGTCTGTGACCTAGGATTTTTATTTATTTTTTGGGGTCAGTCATGGGGCTTGAACTTTAGACCTGGGCACGGTGCCTGAGCTCTTCAGCTCAAGGCAAGCGCTCTAACTGCTTCAGCCACAGCTCTACTTCCAGTTTTCTGGTGTTTAATTGGAGATAAGAGTCTCATAGACTTTCCTGCCCAGGCTGGCTTTGAACTGTGATCCTCAGATCTCAACATCTTTAGCAGCTAGGGTTACAGGCGTGAGCCACCAGCGCCTAGCTAGTTGTTTTGTTTTGTTTGTTTTTTAATTTCAAATCTGAGTACATACTGTGAAAAGATCAGGTGCAAGCAATTAGTAGATAAATAGATTAAGGGAGATGAAAATTAGGCAACCACTTGGAAAAAATCCATATGTACTCTTTCTCTTTCTGGCTTATCATTCATGTCTTCTATGTTTGCTGAGATTTTTGTTTTAATGTGATTGTTGCTGTCGGAGACCAGGCTCTTTAATGGCTGATTGTTTTTAAAGGTTTTACCAACCTTCTTTCATGGCTGTTTGTCTTGCTAAATTAAAGTTTTCCTTAGCTTTCTCTTCTGACTTTCCCGGTGAAGTCAGTTACGCCAGTTCTTACCTCTGGTCATACTTGGAAGGTAATGGGGAAGAGCATCAGTAGGACTGGTAAGTTTTGATTGCCTCTTATTGCACATTCCTGGCTCAGCTAATGCATACACAGTCCTAACTAATCTTTGGTCTTGTGGAATAAATAATCTAAAAGATAAACAACAAAAGATATCAAAATGAACTTAAAAAAGAAGAAAAATGGAGAAGAATTAGAAATATTTGTTATTTTTTTTCTTTTTTTTAAGTCATGGGGCTTGAACTCTGGGCCTGGGCACTATCCCTCAGCTCTTTGGCTCAAGGTAAACAATCTACCACTTGAGCCACAGCGCCACTTCTTGTTTTCTGGTGGTTAGTTGGAGATGAGAGTCTCACGGACTTTCCTGCCTGGGCTGGCTTTGAACTGCGATCCTCAGATCTCAGCCTCCTGAGTAGCTAGGATTACAGGCATAAGCTACCAGCATCCAGCTTATTGTATTTCTTTACCTGGACTCTTGGCGCACCGCAGTGAGTTGTTCTTCATAAACATCCCTGTAAGCACGGTGGTCTGCAGCCCTCCATGCTGTTTTGCTCAGTTCCCTTTGTGTCCTCACTCCAGAAGCCACTGAACCCTGTCTCCAGATGTCATACCTACTGAATTCTTCACCAATGATCTGATTAACCTCCCAGTCCATCTGTGCACCCTCTAACCCAGCGCCTTTGCAAAGTCTAATCCTAGCTTTTGGAAACGTAACAGAATAACAAATCCCCAGACCTTAGTGCCTGAAAGAAAGGAGACCAGAGAAGCGGGGTCTATGGAGTGCCTATCCATCATCTTCGTAAGTCTGCCAGCTATTTGTTGGCTTGCTGCTGTAGGCTCACAACTTAGAAAAGTGAGTTCTAAAGAAGTGAACTATCAGCCAGGCACTAGTGGCTCACGCCTGAAATCCCAGCTACTCAGGAGGTTGAGATCTGAGGATCACAGTTCTAAGCCAGCCCAGGCAGGAAAGTCTGTGAGACTTTTATCTCCAGTTAAACACCAGAAAATCGGAAGTGGCGCTGTGGCTCAAGTGGTAAAACACCAGCCTTGAGCCAAAAAAAAAGCTTAGGGACAGCATCCAGACCCCAAGTTCAAGCCCCACAACACACACACACACACACACACACACAGAAGTTAAAAGTGTTGGCCAAAAACCCACAGTAATATCCTGTATTTGAAAGTATGGCGTGATGGGCTGGGAAGGTGGCTCAGTGGTAGAGCGCTTGCCTTGCATGCCTGAGGCCCTGGGTTCGATTCCTCAGCACCACATAAGAAAAAAGAAAAAAGCCGGAAGTGGCGCTGTGGCTCAAGTGGTAGAGCGCTAGCCTTGAGCTGAAGAGCTGAGGGACAGCGCCCAGGCCCAGAGTTCAGGACCCACAACCGGAACCCCCCCCCCCAAAAAAAAAAAAAAAGAAAATACGGCGTGAGCAGTAGAGAGGGTTAATCCAACTAAAATCTAACTAAGGTGCATATAGGAAATACCATGATGAAACCCCTCTGTACAACTAATATGGGCTTTAAAAAAAAAAGTGACAGAAAAGTAAGAGAGGCTCCATGGGGCAGGGGAGTGTGAACAGAAAGAGCAAAGTACCTTATGTATGAACATAGAACAAGGAAACCTGTTGAAATGGTTTTAAGAAGGGCATGGATGAGGGAGAGGATGAAGGGTGAGGGTGATAGTGTACATTCTGTGCATGGATGGGAATATAATATAATATATTATGTAATATATAATGTATCATACAGTATATATTATATAATGTATAATATACATTATATAATATATATGCAATTTGTGCATGCTTTATTTCAAAAAAGACAAGAAAAGAATAAAATACCCCCTGGTTTCCAGGTGCCCGCAAACACATGATTTTATTGACCCTTCTTGTTGATCTTGTCAAGCAAGTAAGTATTCTAACCCTCATATAACATATGAGGACATTTGAAGGTCAAAGGGTGATCAAGGAGCTAATGTCACACTGCTCTGACTAGAACCCAGGTCTGAGCATGTGTGCTATTAGAGAATATTGAATTCTTGCTCTCTTCCAGTCTTGTTTATTTTTTTGTTCAGTGTTGGGGACTGAACCCAAGGACTTGTGCATGCCAGGCAAGCATTCCATCTTCGCGGTACATCTTCGGCCCTCTTTTCATTCTTGGGATGAGCACATTTGCATTTAGATGATAATATTGCTGCATTTTTTTATTTTTTCTTCAAGGTCCAGTTACTCCTTGTCTATGGCATGGATTCCCCAAGATTTCCCAAGGAAACTGTCCTCATTACTGGAGGAAGTGGCTACTTTGGTTTCCGGTCTGTACCTCCACAAAAATAAGCCCCTGGGATTCTTTACTAGTTTGGCAAAAGGGTACCTTCCAGTTTTGACAGTTGTGCAGTGTGATTTTACTGGCTTGTATGTTGTTAAACCAAAAATAAACAGTGTTGTCCATGACCCTGATGCTGAAATTGAGAAGCACAGAAACATTTTGCTTTAAGAAAAATTCCTGATAAACACTTGTAAGTGGGGGGGGGGGGGGGTGATTATTCATGCATCCAAAGATCATTTACAAATAAGAACTATTCATTCACAAGTGATTTCATGTCTACTTAAGTAGAAGAGAGTGTTCTTGTTTCTCAAATTGGAATAGATAATGCTGGTAGCAATGGATATGTACAGATGGAGGATTCAGGATGAGTCAAGGAGGCTTGGATCTGCCCCAGTTATTTTTCCCGCTTTTCCTGGTACCGCCCAAGAGTGACATAATGGCACGTTCCATCTTTCTCATTTCAGCCTCGGCTGTGCGCTGCACCAAAAGGGAGTCCGTGTGATTCTGTTTGACATCTGCAACCCTGCGCAAGCCATTCCGGAAGGGATCAAGTTCGTCCAGGGAGACATCCGGCGCTTCTGCGAGGTGGAGGCCGCCTTCCAGGATGCCGAGGTGGCCTGCGTGTTCCATGTGGCCTCCTATGGGATGTCCGGGCGGGAGCAGCTCAAGCCAAAGCTCATCAAGGAGGTAAACGTGGACGGCACAGACAATATCATCCAGGCCTGCCAGCAGAGAGGGGTGCCCAGGCTCGTGTACACCAGCACCTTCAACGTCATCTTCGGAGGCCAGGTCATCAAGAACGGGGATGAGTCTCTGCCTTACCTGCCTCTGCACCTGTACCCAGACCACTACTCTCGGACCAAGACGATGGCTGAGAAGAACGTGCTGGAGGCCAATGGCTCAGCCCTGGAACAAGGCAAGGGCATCTTAAGAACTTGTGCCCTGAGGCCAGCCGGCATCTACGGGCCGGGGGAACAAAGGCACTTTCCCCGGATAGTGAGCTACCTGGAGAAGGGCCTGTTCAAGTTCGTGTTTGGTGACCCTGAGAGCCTGGTTGAGTTCATCCACGTGGACAACTTGGTACACGCTCACATTCTGGCCGCCGCGGCTCTGAAAGCTGACAAAGGCTATGTGGCCTCTGGGCAGCCCTACTTCGTCTCCGATGGCAAGCCGGTGAACAACTTTGAGTTCTTCCGGCCCCTGGTTGAGGGCCTGGGCTACACGTTCCCATCCATCCGCCTCCCGCTGGCCCTCATCTTTTACTTCGCTATCCTGACAGAGTTAACCCACTTCATTCTGGGCAGACTGTACAACTTCCAGCCCTTCCTCACTCGCACTGAGGTTTATAAAACAGGTGTCACGCACTACTTCAGCTTAGAAAAAGCCAAGAGAGAGCTAGGCTATGAGGCTCAGCCATATGATCTGCAGGAAATGGTAGAATGGTTCAGAGCCCACGGCCACGGCAAGAACTCTGAGCATGAAGGCCTGCGGTACCTTCTTTGGGATGGGCTGCTGGTCCTCCTCTTGGTCATGTCGCTTCTCACCTGGCTGTCTTCTGCGGGTCTGTCAGTGTGAAGGCCAACTTAGGAACAGAAATGGATCACACTCACTCCAGTTTAACAGCCCTAAGTAACCACTTAAGAATAGATTCTTCTGAGGGCATAACAAAGCTCATGGGAGCTTGTTGAATAATAGGGGAAAGACAGAGCATTAGAAAGGGTTGCTTTGATTAAAGGACAGCAGTATGAAATACGCGTGGAACGATAAACCTCCTTGAACAATTGAATGGCAGAGCTAAGCACCGGTGGCTCACACCTCTAATCCACCTACTCAGGAGGCTGAGATCTGAGGATCTGTACAATTTGAAGCCTGCCTGGGCAGATAATTCTCAAGACTCTTATGTCAAAGTAGTCAGCAAAAAGCTGGAAGTAGAAGCATAGCTCAAGTGGTAGAGGGCAAAAGTGTGAGGCCCTGAGTTCATGCCCCAAAACTGGTGCTCACATGCGTGTACGTGCACACATGCGCACACACACACACACGACAGGAATAATATACATGCTATTTAGAGATGGTTCCTAGTGGGAGAATAAAGTGGGTGAGGTGCTTTATATACATACCTTAAAACAGCAATGAAACCTGCTGAAATGGTTTAAAGAAGGAGGGCAGATTAGTAAGAATAAAAAATGTCACTCGCAGGGAAATGAATGGAATTAGAACCAATTGTGTTAAGTGAGGTAAGCCAAGATCAGAGACAAACGGCCCATATTCTCCCTGATATACGACAGTCAGATCCAAAACACGCTGAGATATCACAAGTTACAGAGGATTCTAGAAGCTTACATACAGTGAGACCAGAAGAGGATAGTCTTAGGAGAGAATCACAAAGGTGCGATACCCAGGCGCCCTTCATATGTGTAGAAAATAATACACATACCGAAACAAATTCCAAGATATGGACACAAAGGACTTTTAGTTTTTTTTTTCCTGATGATTCTGTATTCTTTACCTTCTATACAGTGTATACACGTGCATATCTGTGGGAGGGTAGGGAGAGGACAACGAATCTGAGGGAAAAGGGGTGCAAAGTTCCGCAGTGGGGTACGCTGGACACGGGCGGAAGCTATGCCACTCACGGGTGGAGATGGGAGGGGGAGCAGGAGAGAATGAGGCGCAGGTGACACCCTGCGAAAGACATGCACTTGTTACCTGACGTGCAAATGGAAGCCTGCTGTGTGTCACCTTTAAAACAACAATGAAGCAGATTGGGAAGAGGAAATAAAGATGGCAGATGAGGGAGAGGGATGGGGATGCGTTTGACTGATGCGTGTCTGGAAACAGGTTGCAATGAACCCCTCGTGCAACAAATACCTGCTTCTAAATAAAAATTAAACATAAAAAACAGTTTCATTGGTCTGAAGGGATGGCTCAAGTGGTAAGCCCTCAATTCTAACCCAGTACCAACAAGAGAGCGAGAAAAACGACATAGGTTCTTTCTCTCCTTTTCTTTCTTTCCTCCTAAACGCCTCCCTGTTGAGAGAAAAGAAGAGACAAAGGAAAGTTCCAGACTTCACGTCGGTGTCCTCGTGTCTTCCATGGTAGAAAGTCATTCTGGAGCTCTGAAGGGGCCTAGTTCTTTTGTATAAATATCTCAGAAACCGGTACAAAAATCGGACTGAGACTCAGAGTGACCAGGAAATGGCCACCACAGACAGGCTTGAAGATACAGAAACCACTACGCCAGCCCGTGCCGCGCCCGGCCTGTCAATCACAGCACTCGCTGGCCCGGTGCATGTTTGGGGAACGAGCTTTATCCCCTGTGTGCTACTTAAGCAAACACACCTTACCCTGCCTCACGGGGTTCTTTTGGTAACTAAATTAGGCAAGACGCCTAAAAGCCTGCTGAACACACATGTCACCATTGTCAGTGCTGTCTTTCTGCATTTCTCTTGGAGGGCTCTCCTGCTCAGTTCTCCCCTGAGAGGGGCTGCTAGTATTGAAACTTTGGGGAATGTGTCCACGCCCCATGTCTCTGGTGTTTGCTCAGTGGTAGAAAACACTCAATCTGATGATTAAGGAAAGTAGTGACCCAAGCAGTGATTTTTTTTTTTTTTTAACATTTAAAAATGTCACAGAGCTCGTAATACAGTGACTTGCTTACCGGGGGGGAATTTGGGCTCTGAAGAGCACTTACAATGAGTCACAATGGCAGGCTTGTCCAGCCACCCCTGAGGACAGCTCGGGGGGACGTTCATTCAAGTGACACAGTTGCCTAGAAACCAGCGTGGCAAGAAGACAGGGTCTTTGTCATGCCACTGGCAGGATTTCATGCACAGGAAGGACGGTACAGAAACAAGACAGGATAGAGGGCTGTGGCAGTGATTGCTATTGGAGAATGCAAACAGATGAACAGAACCTGTTGCCCGCTGCCCAGATGTCTTGGAATGCAGCTCTGAACTTGGTGTCAGAAAACCTATAGCACAAATGCTTTGTGTGGCTTTAGCCAAGTACCCAGAGGCTCTCTAGAACCTGACTTCCTCATCTGGGAGAGATGCCTGTAGACTCACCTCACTCTGGTGTTGTGTCAAGCATAAAACAAGATATGTTAAAAAAAAAAAAAAAAAAGTACTCAGGCTGGGAAGGTGGCTTAGTGGTAGAGTGCTTGCTTAGCATGCGTGAAGCCCTGGGTTCGATTCCTCAGTACCCCCATATACCGAAAAAGCTGAAAGTGGCACTGTGGCTCAAGTGATAGAGTGCTCGCCTTGAGCTGAAGAGCTGAGGAACAGCACCCAAGCCCAGAGTTCAAGCCCCACGACCAACAGAAAAAAAAAAGCTCAGGGGCAATGTGCAAAGTTCAAGCCCCAGGACTGACAAAAAAAAAAGTACTTTTAATATATAAACTGCAAAAGAAATATGAGGTAGTGGCGATAGTGGTGTTGATATTTTTTATTTTGACTTCTGAGTTACCGCACATTTGCCTGGATTTTCTTTCAGAGTGAAGTTCATTTGAATTGTGTTTATACAGTGTGTATGTTTGTGTATGCATGTATGTATGTATGTATTTGGGCTCAACAGCTCTTTAAATAGTCTAGTTCAAACGCTTGCTCTACAAGAAAATTGGCCAAGTGATTTCTTTCCCAGACATAGCCACCACATTGGGGCAGGAGCCATGTCTATTTGTCTACTTTTATTTCTAGGGAGCACAGATCCATTTCTTTGTGTGGCCAAAAAGGCTTAGTGGATTCATCTCTCCACCAGGTGGTCTGACAGCCAATTTCCTAATTATTCCTTCCCATAAGTCCAAGACCTCTCAATTTCACCTAATAAAAACACTCACAGTCCAGGTTAAAAATGCAACTCCAAGTGCTATCACACAAAACAGAACGGGAAGCTCTGGACATGAAACAACCAGGAAACTGAGGACATTTGGGAAGCAGCAGGGACCAACCAAAACCAATGCTTTCAGAATGCTTTCTACTATGTGTACTTCACTATTAAAGAAAAGAAAAGAAAAAAAAAGAAAAAGGGGAAAAGGAAATACGCAATCCCTAAACTCTTCTTCCCCTGGCAGCTCTGACTCAGAAACCCTGTGCTGGATGGGAATCTACACAGGTGTGTTTTATCTTCCAATAGCAAGGCAGAAAATGTAGCCAGACACCAAACACGTGCTCCTTTGCAAGTACTGAGAGGCTCCTGTATTCTCCATGCTTGTTTTCTTCCAGTGTCTGGCTACCGCACATGCTCAGTACATTGCTGAGTGTGAGACCTAGAAGAGGAGGTGCGTTCAAGGGCCTTAGATCCCAGCGACCTGCCGCCTCCTCTGCGCACAGGCTGCTTGCACCATGTTGCCTGCAAACATGCCACATTCCACGGTTGACTTCTGACTTCTCTGGCCATCTTACAGACTCCTTGCCTTGGCCTAAAGGCTTCTTCTGCAAATCCATCTTGTTGGGCCTTGTGACCTCATCTTAGAACAAGCAGCTGTGCACTAATTAACATCTAACCGACATGGCTTCAACTATGGTGTCTCTAGGCTGTGCAGATTCATACAACATCACCTGCTATATTTTAGAGCCCATAGATGCCAGGAAAAAAATAACTTTGTCCTGGGCTCCAAATACTTCACAGCTAAGACCAATCTAACCTCCCAAAGAGAAATTACATCCAGCAAGATCTGGGAAAAGGATCATTGAAGGATCTGTTTGTGGAAATTGACATGTTAGATCTGTGTGGAAATTGACATGTTGGATATTTTTTCAACAAAGCTGGTGGAAACATGCCAGTGACAAAAACATTTTCCATTACTAATACATTGGGTTTTAATACTGACAAATAGTCTAGGTATCATTTTCTTCCATTTTTCAATGAGACCTTGTGATAGGTCTAAAAGTAAAATACATTTTACATATATCCATACATACATGCACGTATGCATGAAGGCACATATGTGCTTGTTTCTTGTATATGTATATGTCTCATATATGTATACACATATATGTATATGTATTTACGTGCACATATGTACATGTATATGGATATATGTTATCTAGTTTGTTCTGTATATTTTATATTTATATATTAAGTATTTTATATATTTGTATATCGTATATATTTATAAATATTTTTGTATGCTATATATTACATGCACTATATTATACACATATATATATGTGTGTGTGTATATGTGTGTTATAAATAGTCAGAGAAGGAGTCTTCCTGTGCTCCTTACATTCCCTAGGAACCAGTGCACTGAGTAGCTAGCCTGGGACATTTTGAAATACTTTCCAGCTTTTGCATGATTTTTTTTCTTATGTAATGCTGAGGAATTGAACCCAGGGCTTCATGCATGAGAGGCAAGCACTCTACCACTGAGCCAACTCCCCAGCCCTGCTTTCCAGCTTTTAAAAAGAATTGTTCACTGTGTTGCTGGGGCAAATCCAGCAAACCCCACTGTGTTATCAACATGGAGGATTTTCCTCAACGTGGGAATAATGATAGGTATTAACCTGTCACCTCGGTTAACTAAGTGACTCAAGTGAACATTCTTAGTCATTAATCGCTGCTGCTTGTTGAGCACTTACTCTGTGTGACAGCCTGTCTATGTCTTGGGCCCATTTAGGGCTTTAAATGAGCATATGTTTTGGACAAATGTTGTTTTCCCTCTAGGATTTTCTGACATCAACTTGTACATGAGGGTTAGGATGTAACAACTGGGAGATATTGGGGATCTGGAGCCACTGGGCAGGAAAGCAGACAGTTTCTAATGTACATTTCACATTTTTCTGTCTGTTTACGTCCATAGCTTGCAAGTTCTGTTTTTGCCTATACAATTGGCTCATGTCCTCCCACTCACATTTCAATGTGTCCCTGATATCCAATGTGATGGTATAAGACAGGAGAGACTCTGAGAACTGATTGCGTTTCGATGAGGCCATGCAGTGTCTTCACCCTGATGATCAGCTTGGTGCCTTTACAGGAAAAGACTGGAGAGCTTGCTCCTCCAGCTCATCCTGTGAAGACACAGCAAGAAGGTAATCCTTTGCAAGCCATGAGGAGGGACACCACCAGATTCTCAACAATTTGGTTCCCTTGAGCATGGAAATCTAGCCGCCAGCTTAAAGTCACACACACACACACACACACACACACACAGAAGCAGATATGTTTTTATCTCCTGTTTACCAAGTACACAACTGAGCCTTGGGGAGGTGAGTGCCTTGCTCCGTGTTACCCCACTAGCCGGGCGCTGGTGTTCACACTCATAATCCTAGCTACTCAGGAGGCTGACATCTGAGGCTCCCAGTTCAAAGCCAGCCCAGGAAGGAAAGTCCATGAGGCTCCTATCTACAATTAACCAGCAAAAAGCCAGACGTGGAGCAGAGGCAAATAGCTCAGGGGCAGTACTCAGGCCTTGAGTTCAAGCTCCAGTACTATAGTTTGTGGGCATGCACACACACACACACACACACACATACCCTACAAAGTAACCGGTACTTAGATGCAAGCCAAGCGTACTTGAATACAGAGCTCAAACCCTTTAGTCATGTTTAAGAGGGCGTTATGACCTCAGCACGATGCACATAAACTGCACTGGCAATTAAACTATTTTTGGTTGTTGCAAAAGATAGTAACTGTAAAAAGGAACTCATATGGCAGCCACAATCAAAGCATGATTTTACCATGTGGGTCCCTAGGGCAGGGCATTCAATAGGGCAAAGGACTTAGTAGAGCCCCAATTAATCGGCCAGACAGCATCCTCCCAAGAGGACCGTCTTCTGCACCCAACCACATACTGACACACTGCGCATGTCTAAACTGGTATCTTGAGAGCAAAGCTTGTCTTTCAC